TTGGGAAAAGTAAGGGCAAAACGCACAAGATGCAGTACTTTCAGTGACCTGTAATAGGCAGTATCAGGTCTTTTGTAGCAGAAATAAGCTGCTGCAGAAAAAGCTATAGACCAATTTAGAGTAGACGTCATAGTTACGTCACTTGCAGCTGCGCGCGCATAGTGGTTGCAGAAAAACACTGGGAACAAGTGGAGATAAATGGGTAAAATCCATGGAATAATAATAAAAAAATGTTTTTTGTGCCTTTTGATGTCAAGATCGGAATGCAAATAATTTTTATAGAATACTGTCGTCAAAGACGCCATTTGAAGCTAAACGCAGACGTTTAAATGGACATACTATGGATGAAAACTGCTATGATTACTCTACTTTTAAAGCATAAATTCGATTTAAACAATAGGTCTACATCATAGGGGACGTATTGTATTAGCCATACAGTTACAGCATTCAATATTATTTAAACCTTACTATTAGAAATATTATTTAAACCTTACTATTAACATTTTTACATAACATTTATTTATTTTATCTCACAATTCTGACTTTTTTCTCGCAAATGCAAGTTTATATCTCCTAATTCGGACTTTATAACTCGACTTAACTCAAAAATAGTGAGTTTGTCAAATCTGAGGGAAAAAAGCCAAAAGAGCCGAGGGGAAAAGAGAGAATGACGAGTTGTTTTTCCTTATTAGAATTCAGAGATATAATCTCGGAACTGCGAGAATAAAGTCAGGATTTTGAAATATTTACCTTTTTAAAATTCTTTTATTCCATGGCTCCATAGACTGCCGCTTGAAAACCGTCATTTTCTGCCTCCAGATAGGCTCCGCCCACAAAAACCGTCATCCCTGTTTCGGATCTGTAAGACTATCCCACTCTCTAACGTCAATTTCGTTGAATAACAGTGCTTATCGCTGGGTGACAAGCTCTTGTAATATGCAGAGAACATTTTGAAAATGACATCTAATCAATATAATTTATTATCTTTTTAAACCTAACTATTTTGTACCGTATCCGTGAAATTCTCTAGCTGTAAAGGCTATCTCTCCCGGGTTTTCTGCAACCATGATGCACGCATCCTGAATGTTTACAAACCTATAATTGGTCTATAATGCTTATTTGAATTTAGGCATCTCAACATTTCATACAGTATGAAATTTGTGAAATTAATTTTGAGATTAGAATGATGAGAAAGTTCTTAAAGATGACTGGAGGGTTATTACACTTCAATATTTTTACCGTAAATTTTTTTTTAAAGAATTATTGGATTAAGTGTTATAAGGAATACTTGATTTTCCAACTCAAAATTTCAAGCTTAATTCAGTTGAGTTCTTTGAAATTTTTTGCTTAGTTTACTAGCAATTTCTGATTGAAAATTGTTTCTACACCAGTTTTTTTTTTTAAGTGTATACAAAAGCAATATTTAAGATATGATATTCCTGAAGTTAAATCTGGGCTAAAATTCAAGCTTTATCCCTTTAATTTAGCACTTGATTACAGCAAAAGTAATCTGAATTTTAAAAAAGGCAAAATGAGAGAGTCCAAAATTAAACATCCAATATTATCTGATACATACTGAATACTGACAAAAAAAGAAAAAAAAAGAAAGAAAGAAAAACAATTCCTATACAGGATCTACAAATAATCAATATGTTCCTGATGTATTCTGTTCCTTTAAATGCTTTTTCCAGGGGACATGCAGCAGCAATTTGTTTTTATTTCGATGGACAAGTCGATTTGAACCTGCCATTTAAATTGCCAATTGATTTGAAATGAATTGGAGATTCAATCCAGTTTACCCACCATCCTCTAATACAATCTGCTGGGTA